TATAAAACCCCAGATAAAAGTGTTCTCTCTCTTTCCACGGCGTTACGGTTAGTCTCTTTGTTACTATTATTTATTTCATGAAAAATTTACCACCTGTAATATGTCAGAATTGAAATTTTTTTTTCAGCATGAATGAAAACACAGATACATTGTAAGATTCCAATAATACTTACCAGGTTATTAATCACAGTTAACCACATATATATTCATCATTTCTTAACGTCGAGATCAAATCCTTTGTCGTCGTGCCCTCATTGTTTTCTTCTTATTTCCTTCGTACCTTATTATTAGTTATTACTAAAGGAGTGGAGATACAGAGTTAAGATACAAATATCGTAACGTAAAGCCATGATACGATTGTATCGATACATCGTCCGATACGATACATGTATCTTCACGAAATTTGGCAAGCTTTCAGTATACCTTATAATTCAATAAAGGAAGATGAGTATTGAGTACTACATGTTGTCTTAATTTCTTTTATCAAAAACATTACATGGAAAGTAACATAACAGATTAACAATAACAAAATAGATAGATAGATATTTAACTTTTTTTTTTTTTACTTTTCTTGCCAACTGCCATTTCGTTGGACAAATCTGATAATTTGAAAAAGCACTGTAAAGTGTGAAGTACTTAAATAAGACAATGTTAGTATTTTGATAATAGATTACAGACAATACTGTCAAACTATGTGACAAACCGCTGGTAATACTTCTGTACCTAGATACGTATCGTATCAACTATGATGATGAGAAACGCAACCCTAGTTATTACCATTCTCTCTGTGTAGCTGCTTCACTTATCTTAATTTCTTTAAAACATTTATGAAAGCATTTGTGTAATATTTTCAACATACATATAATGCCACACGTATGTTTTTTACATATGTATAACACCATATACCTATGCCACCATTACTCTTTTTTCAAGTACTCTAATAGTTTATAAATTTGCCTCCAGCTATAGCATAAATAAGTCTAGTAATATTTGAATCACCTTCTAAAGCTACGCTCAGTAGTGTCATCTAGGAGTTGTCAAACGCAACTCATTTTTACTTCACACTTCACGAAATAAATAATCACTGGTAAACTTCAAAGGAATTAAAAATGTTAAGCTAAAAGTCAAATTACTATTATCATAATTCGTGCTATTACTACTGGGCTCCAATACATACTCAGAGAAAGTTGTATTCCCTCAATAATAATAGATCTGGTGTATTTTCTATGATGATTGATGAAAAGTCTAGTATGCTCTGTATAGTTCCCATCACTCGGCTAAATTATCTTAATTTTTTTCTTGAAACATCAGAGGATGTTTCACAGTGGAAAACTTACTGAATGCTGAGAAAAGAGATAGGTCATACACCCTTTTAATGATTTTCCAATCACATGATCATTCTCACTGTCAATAATCGACTGACAATTCTTAAATGTTACACAGCGTGGTCACAAGTAAATAGACACCACCTTTTCAAAAAAAATTAAAATTTTCA